GTACATAACTTAGTAATTCTGTATATAAATTAACAGAATAACGAGGCGACAAGTATAAAACTAAAGGCCATATTAATTTGATAAACTGAGCAATTCGTCGCCTGAGTATGTAGATGAACAATATATCTGAAACTATAAATATATATTAAAAAGGAACTTTATCCATAAACAATAAGCATTTAAACAAATAAGTTGTACATCAATCAGAGCAATTCAGTTGGTTGTTCCTTGCCTCGTATTATGACGACAATATACCTCACAAAATAAAAACTAAAAACCTATTAACTCAGTATTACAAACCCCACAGAAAACGGAGGTGATTTCGGGTGCTCCATTAAAGGGTAAGCTGATCCTGCTCCATATGTTGCATTTGTCCCTTTGCTCATAGTACGTACAAATTCAGTTTCAATTCTCATTTGGTGATGTCACAATCGAGGAAAAGAGGAAAGTAGTGCAACTTCTAATTACATTTTTACAATACACTTACATAGATACACTCTAAACATATCAGAAAAGGAACTTTCTTTGTGTCATTGTTGGAGAATACAAAAAGACAACTTAACAATGATATTGATAAATATAAACATGATATAATCACCTTGTCAAATCGAATACCCACATATCTACATTTGAACCCCGAATGTTAACCTCGATATATTTATTAATGATTTTGTGAATTGTTTGGATGCCTTAAAAATAAATATTGCTCAAGGTCATTGTAAGTGTCTAATTTATATCGAAAATTTATACTCAATTTGCAAATTTCAGGTATGACTTGATAACAAAAAATGGTTCTAAAAACCTTGCTGGTAAGTATCGGTATACAAAATTGTCAAAATCTCTTCTATTTACCCATATATCAATAACAAAATATATAGTTACATAATAACATGCGTGTTTCAAGAAAAAAATGTATGTTATAACGTAATTTTAATTTGACGAATCACACTCTTAAAACTACAATATATAAAAATCTCAAATTTGTTACTAAATATATTACAATAAAAATAAAATTTTAAAAGGTCTCGGCAAAAGTTTCAATGGAGTTTCAATTTCATATAATGTTCCTTTAAAGTAACAATTGTAGTGAAGTCAAACATGTCATTGCATTAGGCATGTATTTGTATCGCAAATTTTTTTTTATATTTATATAGGTCTAGCTTTTTTAGGGGGAGTATGTGGAGAATCAGCCCAATCAATTATAGAAGATGATTTCTCTTACAATATCATCACAACATCGTCTCATGAACTTGGACACAAGTAGGCATGCAAATGTATATATGTTGCCATATTGCACCTGGTTCACATACATTGTTATTTTAAGTAACGATTGAAGTGCACTGCTTACAAAATTGATAACAGCGAACAAAACAATACCAATCATTTACGGTTTAATTTATCAATATGTACACAATTTGATAAAAGCAGACATAATATTTACAGCATATTCATTTGAAAGAAAAATGTTACAAAATCAGTATATGAGCTGAGTCGGATATAAATCGACCTTATGAAAGTGCACATGTACATGTATTAGGCTTTAAATGATTTTTGAACATTCAAATACTATATGTTTTGTAGGGTTCCTATAACAACTCGATTTTCAAACAGTTACATTCTTTGAATACAGATTTGGATAACAGATGTATTGATATTTATTTACATAAGGTCGATTATATTCACATTGCTTTTAAAAGGACTATATTGACTATTGTCGTTTACTTTCTAGTCTAAATTCAAATCACGATAGTGATGGCAATAGTTGTACTGCGGCTGATGGTTATGTTATGGCTGCTGTCAGTACAGTCCACTTGGGTGCTACAGCAACGCATCCCTGGATCTTTTCCACCTGTTCTACAAATTACTTCACTTCAAAGTTAGACAGTTTAGATTCGTAAGTGCACTTTAACATAAAATAAACGAAAATAATCAATGTTTTCTATTTTGAATGTTTGTCAAAGTTCAATGTAAAGAAAACTGCAAAAATGAAAAGCGCAAATTATGAAATTGAAAAAATTAAGATGAAACAAAATAATGACAAAAACGACAGATAAATATATTCTATAAAGACAAACAATAAAAAAATCTCAACCATACATATTTGATCTGACAGTTTCTCTCTAATGAACGTACACAAACATGCTTAATGTAATTTACATCTTATATTTACCTTCCAATGATAATGTTGAGTTGTTAAGTTTATGTTTTTCAGTCAAAATAAGAACTGTATGAAAACATTAGGACCAAACATTGATCCAACTGCCCTGGCGAAATACGGCAAAACATATGCAGGACAGGCATACGATGCAGACGCGCAATGTAAACATACGCATGGTAAAACATCAAAGTTATGCAAGGTAATATCGTAACAAGATAAAGAGTGCATATATAAATGTTAAACATAAAATATAGAAATATAACAATATAGAAATATAAACATATAAAAACAACAATAACCTTTAACATGTACAACATGGATACCACAATTGGTCACGTACATGAAGTGTCCTTTTTCAAATATTGAATAAACCTTTTTGTCAGCTTAGATAGTTAATATCATTCTTTTGCATTCATCTATATGTCAAGGTAATTACGCCAATTCATGTGTAAACATGAAAATAAAACCGAAAAATCATAATGGTCTAAGCCCATAATTACAGACTTGCTTACGTATTGTTTTCAATTTCAGAATCTTTTTAAAGGAAATTATACCTCAATATGTAACCAGATGTATTGCGATGATCCTACTAAACCGTCAAATTGTATCGCGTCAACAGCATGGGATAGGACTTCTTGCGGGAACAAAAAGGTATGAACTGGGATCCTGTCAATAAATTATTCTTCTCTTGAATATATTACTTTTCTTTTTAAATAGTTGAAATTTATAAAAATCAGTAAATACATTTATTGAGGCTACACAATGGTACTATTGTTGAAAGACGTCATAACAATTAAAGTGTTTGAAAAACTGTCAGTCAAAAACAAAAATCTTTTTTGTTAGGGTGATTTACACACCGATTTTTATAGTTTGTGATCTAACACTAACTGCTAATAGCTACTTGTAAGATGAATGGTAATTTTTCCTTTGATCTTCGAGTGAGGTAACTTCGGTTATTTTTAGAGGAGTGCGTTAACTGAATGAATCAAAAGTTGTTATTTCACTGTCAAGCTCCGCCTCCTTGAACTAGTAAACTATGAAATCAATGACCATAAAATGTCCTAATAAATGTAAACGAAATGCATATACAACAATATATCAAAAACAAATCGAGAAAAGGGGTGAGGGGGTGAGGAGGGCTTACCCTAACACTAGCCAAATTTGTAAACCTAACCCTAAATTAAAATGGTTCCCTGTATATTGTACTTTAAACAAATGAATGCTCGAGGAGAGCTGCAAAAAGGAAGAACGTGGACTGTAAACGAAGAGTCGATATTGATAAATTGGTGGATACTTGTTTTTATCGTGACAATATAAGTATTCCATAAAAACTTGTCACTGGACTTTTAGTCGTTTAATTTTCTCCACTTAATGAAAAAATAAAACAAAATGTAATAGAAATGACTATAAATTTTCCTGCTGTTATTTTGGTTGGATACCTGTTTTTATCGTGTCGAAATTAATGACAAAATATATGTCAATGGATGTTTAATAATTTTCTTCATTCTATAAAGGCCTATCTCCGTGAATTGATCTTGTTTCAGATATTTGTCCCTGGATCTTACACGCATTCAACATGCAACCATTGCAATCAATTAACCGATCTTTTTCCAGTTCTTGGGAAATTGGAAGAATAGTATTAATTACCTTCATAATTGGTATTATGAAATGTTTCCTTCTTATCACAACGATAAAACTCCTTTGAAACTACACGTCATTTCCGAATTGAAGGGCAGATAAACATCGTATAAAATTTTGCATCAACGTGTCCTTCTCCTATAACGTCCAAAATCACCCGAAACGTGTGCATTATAGGTCATTGTATGCCAAAACGTGTCTTATTAATGACGCTAAAATGTGTCCTTTCACTAACATCGTCAGGGTATCGTGTCCAGTCACGCCTAAACGTATCCACTCTACGAAGGACAATTCCGTTTATCATATCCATAAACTGCGACCTTAAACCTGGTTTTATTTAATGTATGAATTCCAATTTCACCAGAATACTGAAATGCCCTTATTAGGGATATTTTATCATCAATAAGTTAATAATAATTTCAAAGAAATATGCATTTAGGATTTTCTTTTGTAACAGTGAAAAACAAGATCGTTGCTTTGTTTCAAAACAGAAATCAATATTGTGTCACAAAGTTCGAGACAATGGCATGACAATGGAGAGATAAGTGTTAATATTTGAATGAATAGAAAATTGAGTTGGATCATATGCATGAACAGGTTGAGCATCTCCTACTTAGCGTAAACAATTTAGTAGATGATTTTCGCAAAAATCAACTAATGAAGAAACTTCGTTGAAATAAATATCTGTTCGTCGTTTTTAGTTTTTTGCCATGACGTTTTCAGCTTATCTTCGACCTATGAGTTTGAATATCCCTATGGTACCTTTCGCCGCTCTTGTGATTTGCAGTGTATACAAAACTTATCTAATGAATGGCTATTATTTATTTTGAATTTATTGAACTATAAAATTAATTTTTAGCTCTTCCCATTGAATAATCCGCGAAGCGGATTATGTAAAATGTGAAGAGTCAAAAATTAATTTTATGGTTCAATAAATTCAAAATAAATTATTGTCATTCATTATAAATAAATTTCTATCAAAAATAAGGCTCAAAGAGCTTTTTATATTATTTATATTAACAATAACAACGTACACACATTTTGGCGCATGAATACACAACGTCAGAGTGGGCGTGTCGCCATAAAAATTGACAACATTGAAAATAAAGGTAATACTTTTAACCAGTCAGAAGACAGTAAATACACCAAATTTATTTATTATCAGATAACAGACAACTTTACTGACGTTTCAACATGATTTAGTAAGTTTATATTTCAAACGCGTTTGCGAAAAATAGTCGGACATGTTTGGGCGATAAGTGATTTAAAAAACACCTGTGAGCTTAGTGGAAATGTTTTGGCGATATGGACACACGTGTGAGGCTGTTAGTTATATAAAATGTAATGTACTTAAATACATATATAGTTATATTTGATGACATGTCGAAATTCGTTTTAAATTGACTCTCAAAAACATTTATTTTTATTGTATAGTGGTGTGTGTATGGTGTATGTACGCACGATGCAAATGCGCCTGTATCTAATGGTAAGTTTTGTGTCGTTATGTTTTAAATTTTTAATTCAACACATTTTTGTAAATTGTGTTTAAATTTTGTACAATGTTTATTGGTAACCACCATTCATTTTATTCACAGTTTGTTGTTTTCTTCAAGGTTATAATGATTCTCTTTGATTCTTTTGGTGTTGCTACATGCAATAACATATGCTTTAAAAGTGGTCATTTGGAAGTTTTCTAACATTCTATCTAGTTCAAAAAAATGATAGAAAAAATGTCGAAATTCAGTAAATATTACAAAAACGGCAATAAAACATCCACAAATTTCAGAGCCTACGATACAGTTTTGATCCAACGATGATTTAAAAAAAAATCTAAATCATACATAGTGATGTATTACCTGATCTATTCAAATATGTTATAAAACACATACCTTCGTGTGCAACTTTATGAGATAGATGTGATCCAACTTTTGGATATTTACTCACTATGTCCGTTTTTTACATTTGTATACTTTGAGTAGATTAACTTAACTTTTGTATTTCAAAAGATCAACACAAGTGTTTATTGTATGTAAAAACCTTTGGAAAACCTTCTAAACGTATATAAATTTACATAAATTTATGAAACAATTCATTTGGAAATGATTCATATGTATCAAAGTTTCATGATTTCAGAAAAAAAACCCATCATTTTTTGCTGTTTATTTATCTTATTTGAAAAAGAATTATCGCTGCTATAGGGTTTTTGGCCTTGGTCTTTCCTGGTGCAGATGGGTTCAGATGTGCAATGCTGACGCAAGAGGGTTTTATAGTGTTGTTTTTATTTTGTTTACCCTTGTCTTTATATTTTACCTAATTTGTACTTTATCGAGAAGTATATACTATGTATGTGCTATCAAGTACTAAAACATTTTTGTTGGCGTCTTTGTCAAGTTCACTATCAAGTACTAAAACATTTTTGTTGGCGTCTTTGTCAAGTTCACTATCAAGTACTCAAACATTATTGTTGGTGTCTTTGTCAAATTCACTATCAAGTACTAAAACATTTTTGTTGGCGTCTTTGTCAAATTCACTATCTAGTACATCAACAGTTTTGTTGGCGTCTCTTTGTCAAGTTCACTTTCAAGTACTAAAACGTTTTTGTTAGCGTCTTTGTCAAATTCACTATCAAGTACTAAAACATTTTTGTTGGCGTCTTTGTCAAATTCACTATCAAGTACTCAAACATTTTTGTTGGCGTCTTTGTCAAATTCACTATCAAGTACTAAAACATTTTTGTTGGCGTCTTTGTCCAGTTCACTATCAAGTACTAAAACATTTTTGTTGGCGTCTTTGTCCAGTTCACTATCAAATACAAAAACATTTTTGTTGGCGTCTTTGTCAAATTCACTATCAAGTACTAAAACATTTTTGTTGGCGTCTTTGTCAAGTTCACTATCAAGTACTAAAACCTTTTTGTTCGCGTCTTTGTCAAGTTCACTATCAAGTACTAAAACGTTTTTGTTGGCGTCTTTGTCAAATACACTATCAAGTACTAAAACATTTTTGTTGGCGTCTTTGTCAAGTTCACTATCAAGTACTAAAACATTTTTGTTGGCGTCTTTGTCAAGTTCACTATCAAGTACTAAAACGTTTTTGTTGGCGTCTTTGTCAAATTCACTATCAAGTATTAAAACATTTTTGTTGGCGTCTTTGTCAAATTAACTATCTAGTACATAAACAGTTTTGTTGGCGTCTCTTTGTCAAGTTCACTATCAAGTACTAAAACATTTTTGTTAGCGTCTTTGTCAAATTCACTATCAAGTACTAAAACATTTTTGTTGGCGTCTTTGTCAAATTCACTATCAAGTACTCAAACATTTTTGTTGGCGTCTTTGTCAAATTCACTATCAAGTACTAAAACATTTTTGTTGGCGTCTTTGTCAAATTCACTATCAAGTACTAAAACATTTTTGTTGGCGTCTTTGTCAAGTTCACTATCAAGTAGTAAAACACTTTTGTTGACGTCTTTGTCCAGTTCACTATCAAGTAGTAAAACATTTTTGTTGACGTCTTTGTCCAGTTCACTATCAAATACAAAAACATTTTTGTTGGCGTCTTTGTCAAGTTCACTATCAAGTACTAAAACATTTTTGTTGGCGTCTTTGTCAAATTCACTATCAAGTACAAAAACATTTTTGTTGGCGTCTTTGTCAAGTTCACTATCAAGTACTAAAACATTTTTGTTGGCGTCTTTGTCAAGTTCACTATAAAGTACTAAAACATTTTTGTTGGCGTCTTTGTCAAGTTCACTATCAAGTACTAAAACATTTTTGTTGGCGTCTTTGTCAAGTTCACTATCAAGTACTAAAACATTTTTGTTGGCGTCTTTGTCAAGTTCACTATCAAGTACTAAAACATTTTTGTTGGCATCTTTGTCAAGTTCACTATCAAGTTCACTATCAAGTACTAAAAAATTTTTGTTGGCGTTTTTGTCAAATTCACTATCAAGTACTAAAACATTTTTGTTGGCGTCTTTGTCAATTTCACTATCAAGTACTAAAACATTTTTGTTAGCGTCTTTGTTAGATTTGTTTGTATTTTTGTTTGAATTTTTTAGTCAGTTGTGTTATATGTCTGTGATGTACGTTTACACAGTTTTGGCTAGTAGATCCCAATTATTGTCACATTTACCTATTATGTCTGTCTGGGATTCTCAATGTTATTGTCATTGTAAATATAACGGAACTATAAACAACTGTCATACAAGTGTCAGGATTAGCTAGCTATAAAACCAGGTTAAACCCACAATTTTCTTTGACAAATGTCTCTTCCAAGGAATATGCTAGTTGTCTGTTATCCTTTCCGTCGGTTGATAAAGTCTAACGTTTGATTTTGTCAATTTGTATGGAATTCACTCTTTTTGAATTTACTTTGGTACTTTTGTTATACTTTTTTCCACAACATTGTCTTTTACTCAGTTGTACGTCAAATGTTAAGAATGTCTTAACCGAGACACAACACTTTCCTAAAATTGCACATTTGTTCTTGTATCTCATTTTGTGGTGCAATTTAAGTGGTACATATCTTCAGTGATTGCAACCAGGTATGAGAACAGTAATCAAATAATTTATGTGATTAGTGTTTGATGCTATTTTGCTCTGCAATTGTACCTGAATAATTTTCAGTTGTGATTGAATAAAACTGATTTTTTAAAATTTAAATAAATATTTAACAGCTGGACAGATGTACGATCCAGACACCCAGTGTAGGCATATTTATGGAAACAGTTCAGAACTATGCAGGGTAAGTAAAAAAAGACAAAACAACTTCATAGTCATTATTTTATTTTATGATTATTTGTGAGGGCAGTTGTTATTGATTGACGAATATTACTTGTCGTTAGTTAGGGTGTACATTGAATGAGCTTTATTTGTTGAATGCATCAATTAAGCATATTAGGTATCTGTCAATAACAATCATGCAATGTTTATGGCCCCGCCACAAAGTGGTCGGGCTATACACTTTTACCCCGTATCCGTCATTCCGTCATTATGTCATTGTGTCATTCCGTCATTCCGCAGCGAACAGTTATACGGACTTTTCTTTTCAAACGCCTTCACATATTCGCAAAGACATGTCAAGTGTAAAATCATCACCTTATTTTTTTTTCTTTTGTCGGGAATTCATATCTTCTTTCAAACAAACTTCAAAATGTACATATTTGAATTATTTAATTGATGTTACACATTAGCGATGTTTGCTTTAAGAATGAATTAGACAAAAAAACGTGTAACACAGCTAGAGCTAAAAAAAAAAAGAGAACAAAAAAGGCAACGAAACAAAAATAACAAAGAGAAAAAAACATAATATAAAAAAAAATATATTAAAATAAAAACAAACATGAAACAACTTAACATGAAAAAGGAAACAAGACAAAATGATACTGATTTTCGAATGAAGGACTTGTTATGAAATAAAAGCTTTCACATATTCATATTACTTGATGGGCGAGGGTCAGGGTACATGTATAAAGATGTGTTTATTGAATTGTATCCCCTCTTTATCTTAAAATATGAGACCACATCAACAATGTTCGGTATAATTGGGGAAATTCTGTGGTTTTTTTCTAGTCAACTGTTTATCCCAAGGTGTACTTGATGTCCGATGACTATGAATTTGTATGTTATTCTCTAGCTGCATTATGAATTTGAGCTCTGTTTTCATGACTAAAGGAGAAGGTTTACTAAGTGTAAAGATTGGCCATAAGATTGAATGTATTTTTTAATCTGGCCAAATACTACAAATTATACGCAGAATTAGTTGGGATGTAACTATATATTAATAAAATTGGGAATGGAAACAAACGGGGAATGTTTTTGTTTTGCTATGTGTATCGTTTTGTTGTACTAGTATACATGAAACTTCTATATTTATTAACATAACGAGTTGAATCTTGTTTTAGGGATTGTATAAAGGAAATTTTGCATCTATATGTGGAAAATTGTACTGTAAAGATCCATCTAATCCAAAGTCCTGTAACGCAATAGTAGCTGAGGAAGGTACTCAGTGTGGCAACAAAAAGGTAAATGTTTTATCAAATGTAACAAGTTTACATGTAATGTTGTTGATGCTTAGAATATGGTAACGTTATACCAAATATTACACTGTGTATGGCAGTATATATGCAGTACGATGAATAATCATTTATCTGAAAATTATTTCGACACAGCGGACATTTGTCTCTTATATTCTGTAATTATAGTACGGTAATTTCTATAAACAAATATTTTTTGTTATCTTTGTGTCGAAGTGTTGTTTTGTGATATTGCCTGATAAGATGATACAAGTGTCAGTTTGATATTGCCAATAGTTATTTATTATTTTGAATAGATGGCAAAACAATCGTTATGTATGTGACGTATCATCTGATAAAATGTTGACCAATGATGATAGAAATTTTATTATAAATCAAGTTGCGGCAATTATTGACTCACATGCACAATACTTCTTACATCAAAATGTAATAGTCTGCAAGTTTGAGTGTTGGAGATTTCCAAATGAAATAAAATTAGAATGATATTGCATGTGGTATTCCCCTTATTTTTAATCCGTGTGAATGATTTGTATGATTCTTGTTGAGGAGACGAGACACACGTAAATAATTAAAAATGTTATTTTTTCAAGTGGTGTGTCGACGGAGCATGCACTTTCGATGCGAAAGCACCAACAGGCATTGGTAAGTTGTCAGCATAAAGATTTTCTATAATCATTTATTTGAGAACAAACATACCACTCTATAAGTGTGAATTGGAGATTAAAAATTCTTTTAATCCCTTTTAAAATGTATGTCACTGTGCTTTTAAATCTTTGATAACTACTGCAGCCAAGCTTCAATAGTTAAATGATAGTAAAACAATATATGATCTTTATTATTAGTATTGTATTCTTATGGTAACTTATTTAACCTATACATGAATTTCTCGAATTGATTTATTACATGCATTATATTAACATACACAGAGCATGATATGGAATAATGGGGTTTCGACTTCTGATTTGTACATATAGGTTAAATATTAAAAAAATTAAATAAAATTCGGCGTTTGGTGATTGCTATTATCAATGTATCTTTGTGATAGTTACAGTCCTAAATTTTAATACACCAATTCCTCAGCATGTTTGCAAGTAATTAATTATTATTGTATTAATTTGTTTTTTTAAATATTGAACGCATCTGACAGAATTTTTTTTATATCAATACGTGTGCTTGAGATGAAAGACTACAGGTACGCATCACGAAACGAAATGATATTTTCAACAAAAACCTCAAAATAAGAATTAAAAGAGAGGCGAAAGATACCAAAATGGCATCCAAACTAGAGTCGAAAACAATGTCATGGTGAAAAACGGAAAAAAAAAGACAAGCAACAGTATACAAAACACAACATCAAAAATCAAAACCGGAGACACAAACCCAACAAAACCCGGGAGTGATAACATGTCCTCTTGAAGGGTAGGCAGATCCTGCTGAAGTAGTGACCTGTTGTTTTCATCGTGCTCAAGTAAGTTAAAACTAAGTGATTAATCGAATTCGGTAGGTCACATTCGAGGAAAATAGGTCGGGATTGTGGTTATTACAATTAGAATACATCCGTCGTCATCTATGATACAGGCATTCTATTACGACCAACCTTCTCGTGATGGCATCCATAAAATGTTCGAAGGGATGATTTCAAATTCATCATTTTGAACTATTGGTTCAATAGCTTCCCATGGAAGCAGCAACCCTCTAACAAGAAAATCATGATAGGAAATGCATGCTCTTGAATACCGTATCAATTGGAATATTTACTCCATAAGCAGGCGCTTCTACAATGTTGCTACATAAAAAACTAAACATTCAATAACAGAAGCAATGAAATGAAACATAAGCATATGCTTGTCTTAATATTTGCCTATATTATAATTCTCTATACAAAAGCGTACAAAAATTTAATCAAGAGCAGCGCTATCTTTTATTTATCAAACAATCCATCAGTCGAAAAAAACACAACAGCATGTATAAGCGAGGAAAAAACCCACAAAAGACAAAAGAGACAACAAAACACCACATAAAGCACTAAAGATCGAGCAACAAAACAGCATAAATTTGGGTTGTTTAATGTTAGTGATTACTGTTGTGATATATAATATAAAACAATTCTATTGTATAGATAATTGTTTGTTCGGCGATAAAAAAGGTAAAGTGTTCAGTAGTGGTTGGTCATGTGCGGACATGATGCGATTGGCTCCTTATAATTGTCCAGCCGTACCAACAGAGTGTTGTGCATCATGTGCACCTCCAACAACAACTACTTCCTCTTCCACTACAAGCACAACACCGACGACAATAATAACCCCAACAACAAGTATGTCATTGACAACGACCACAATACCTACAACGACCACAATAGCTACAACAACCACAACACCTACAACGACCACAACACCTACAACGACCAAAATAACCCAAACAACATTACCTACAACAACAATTGCAACAAAAACTACGCAAATGTCGACAACCACTACAACAAGTAGACCGTCAACAACATCGAAAACCACGACGACAAAGGCGGCCTCCTCGAAAAACAGTCCGACATTAAAGATAAATACTTCATACCATACTGCAAGACATCCTAGTACAACATTGTTATTAACAACCAACACAACGAGGATTTTAAAAGATTCAAGGCAACATGGTAAGAAAATATTTTTATCTGTAATCACCTAATTTTAAGTTTTCTTAATATGAATCTCTGAAATATGTACTAATTTTACTTTTTATTTCAATTTGATAAGAAATTACCTGTATTGTATTTTAAGCTTGAACTATATTAAGTATATGTTAATTGTTTGAAATTGAGTTTATACAGCTACGCAGCGGAGATGGGTAAATGGATATTTGCGACAGTTAAACCAAGTTAACGTAGGTCCAATGTAAAATACAACACAGTTACTAAGTGCAAAACGTAGGCGCCAGACGTTTTAAATATTTGTGTACTCTTCATATTGGATGGAATCTTTATAAAAAAAATGTAACAAAAAACTTGATAATTGTATCATTTATTGAAGGAATTACATATAAATGAATTCTAGAATTCAAAATGGCGGCTTCGCTTGATTAAAGATGGGTAAACAGTTGATTTTACGCATGAAAAAATATGACGTCCAATCAATAATAATGTGTTTACATAAATATTGGATTAAAATATTATTTTGGCCTCAGAAATATATGTCCCGTTTGTTGTGTCTACCTCTTTTCAATAATTGTGAATCATGTGAATATTTCTGTATTAGCATTACCAATTAGTAGGATTACGTTAAACAAGCAATAATTAATTAATCCATGTAAATTGTTATCCCGGAGTACGTCATATGACTTGATTAATAAATGACAGCAACACCACAGGAGCCCAAAATGGAGATGGACTTGCTTACCTTTCGGAAACAACTATATCTTACTTCATTTATATTGTTTATGATGCCTTCTTTGTATTTTATTGCTAGTTATCTGAGTAGTGCTATGTAGACTATTTTATGTGTACACATATTTTTCTTCTGTCATTTGTGTTGTCTCTCTTTCTGCATCCTTGTTTTAACGATCTCTTTTTGTATCTTTATATACTTTTTCATTATTTTGTCTCATTTTTATATATAGATACAGTTCTGATAGCAGTAGGAGTAGGTGCTGTGGTTCTGATATCTGTAGTCCTTATTTGTATCGTAGTTTGCCGGAAAAAATTACGGAGGGCAAAAGTTGAAGATGTAGAGGCCAAGAAGGTAAACACCAGAATGAGAAAAGACTCTTTAATTTTGTTAAATATTGAACATTGTTCTTAATATAACTTGAACCATACCGTTAAATGATTGCACCTTCATTTTGGTATGAAACTTGCAAAGTTTCATTGTTGTCAATGATATTCCAATCACATATTTATCATGAAAATTGATTTACGAACACTTTTTTTTAAGAATAAAAAATCGTTTCTGTAATGTTTATGTAATGAAGGAAGGTAAGACTGCTGATATACCTAATAGCATATATTAATGAGCATTTACTATGTATTTTACAGCAATACAGCAAAAGAACTAGAGTTACAGGAAACGTGAATCATACAATGGCGCCAGGAAATAGTAAAAGAATTGAAACGACAATGAAAATGCGTTACTGATCAGCTACTAAAAACGCTTCTACATCATTACATTTCAGATTATTTGACAGTTTTGTCAAAATTTATATGCAAATACAATAGCATGTGTTTCATGAATATGCACATCATATACATATATTCATATTCACTTATATTCACTTTATACATGTTATGAGTGCGTGCACCTTACGAGTGTTATGTGAAACAGCTTCCCGCTCTGTATCAAACAGGAAACAAGAACAAATTGTTCTTGAATATTTATAGAAGGTGTAATGAACAATATATGTTAATCGCGAATTTGTTTGTAATAGCCGCTTATTGCAGTCTAATGTCGTGTGCACATTTGTTTTACATCTATTCATACAATAATATTTGATGTTTTGCACCTCAATTTATTGACAGTGAAGAAATGTGATGCAGCCCGTAAAGACACTAAAACGAAATAATATCCAGATGTTTTTTCTGTACGATCAAGAAAACCATTTTGTTATATGTTTATACATGTATATTCTAGGGAAACTTAGTTAAACTGAACAAATATACGTTGACAGTTTAGAAATTGTACATTTTTTTCTTCACAAATAGACTTTTTTCCTTTCAAATAATTAAACAGTTCTGGGTCAAATATCTAGAAAAGATTAAGTAAAAAAGGGATATATAACGGTAAAAAAAATCATATACTTCTCTTTCTGATAAATTTCTGCATTTTGAATATGTATATACAAAGTGCAGGAAAACATTAGACATATCAGGTGATGGTACAACCGCATGACCAACTGTACTCATTTATCGAAACAGTAGCAGGAAAACTAAATACTATCAAGAAGTTTTGAGAACAATATGTATGAGGCAAGTATCATGATAGACTAAAATAAATTTCCCCATTAATCGACAGGAAGTTGCACAAGCAGCTGTAACGGGTACAAACATGGCTGTAAAAACAAAGGAGATGTTGTAGTTTCCCACCTTTGAAAAATATTGCAGAGTAGAATGAACATTTGGTGACAAGGAGAGGTCAATGTTTCAAATGTTCAATTCTTTCAATAATAAAACGTATGTTTGTTGTTTATTTTCTGTGCTTTTCATTTCATTTCTATGAAAATTGACAACACAGGTAGTGTTGGTTGTTATAGAGTCATTCTTTCTTTTGCCTTCGTTGTTAAAACCAGTGAACTGCAGTAGATCACTCGTTATGACTACAAACCAACAATGTTAGAAAGGTTAGAGCGGCCTTGTCAAAAGAAGCGATGTCCAATAAGGCTTCAGTGTTCATGACACGGTTTTACTGCTTTTTATGTATATTTTTTCAAAACTTTCTTATAGATATTGAAAGATAGTGACATGTGGAGCATGATCTGCTTACCTTATGATTTTGAATGTCACTTTGGTATCTTTCGCCTTTCTTTTATCGGTTATGTCTTATTCCCCATTGTGATATTTTGACTGAGTGTGGATTCGTAAAACGGATGATGTAAGCATAGCAAGAGACGCTTACCCTGTCATCACACGTGATTTCGCCTGGTTTATTCATGCAATTCCCTCAGTTTTAAGTTTGTTGCCTGTAGTTATATCTTCCTAATCGATTTGTGAGATTGAACATCTGTAAACAACTGTGGCCTAAGGGAGCTACCATTTGATTTTTAGGGGGGGGGGGGGGGGGGGGCTAGGATGAAATTTGAAAAAAAATAGGCAGGACAGGAGTTTTGAGTAAAAAAAAAAGGCAGGATGACAATTTATGTAAAAAAAAGTCAGGATAAACTAAAAAAAAAAGGCAGGACAGAGATTACAACTAAAAAAAATGCAGGACAAATTTTTCATCCTAGCCAGCCCCCCCCCCCCCCCCCCCCCCCCCCCCCCCCCCCTTTCCCCCTTCCCATAAAATTCAAATGGCAGCTCCCTAATGTTATGATTAGATCACAACATCCGGCAACTTATTTTTTTCTTTTTTTTTCAGGTTGTTTTCTTTTTTGTTTGTTTTTCTTCATAGGGAAAACAAAGAGCACACTGGGCAGGTGACATTAATAATTTGAAGAAATTGTTTCACGCTAACTAAATTAGGAAAACAAATCTTATAATAACTGCCGTATGACTACATTGTCATCAATTTTGATTTTAAAGGTCAAGTCATTTTGAAGTATTCAATTAGAAACAATAATAATCGATATATTATATTTCACTATCGGTGCCATTATCGGGTTGGAAAGCATAAACTATGATTAAAATCTAAAACAAACTTGCTGCATACGTTTTCTGTTTTAAATGCAGAAAATTAATCGATGAAAAATTGAACAAACTTTTATTGAATTCAAATATTAATTTGAATTAAAAACAATTTTTTTTTCTTAATTAAAGGCAAGACGTCTATTTATAAGCGATATTTATAGATGAGACAACAACCATTTTGTCTGTCAAGTCAAAAAATATTTTTAAAGAGCTAACTAGACTGGTACAGCATGCACAGTTGATTACTGACAAGTATGACCTCAGAGCATTGAGCATGATTCATGCATAGGATAATACAATCATGATAGTTTGTTACAAAATGAGCATCTAGCTGTGACGACATTTCCTTTATCTTGTCCTCCTTTTCAAATAGTCCTTGTGTCCCAGCTAAAAAGGAAGAAACCAAAACTAAAATTAAAAATTTACTTTCAAGATAAACGGACAAGTTTTCACTATCATATGTAAGAAGTTATCGTAAAAACTGTGAATAACTTTTTCTCTAGATTTTATTTTAAAAAACGCTGTTCTGATATTTTAAAATAAAAATAATTAGTTTGATACCATTGACCGCACAAATTTTACTGCAACATATTTGCAATTAGTGTCTTTTAGTTAATGTTTAGTGATGGTCGAGGCAAACATATTTGAAAAATATAATACCGTAGCTAATATAAACGTTGTATATACACGTTGTAGATGTTATAAAACAAAAAGAAACAAAAGTAAAGCCGAAACTGCATAAGGAATTAGAACTTTGCAGGAACCTGCTCAAAAGTTTCTACCGAAGTGTTGTGTTGGTATTTGTCATGTGCTCCTCCATTTTTTGGTTCTAACACTATTTCACTCTTCACTCCGTTCATTGGTTCTAACACTATGCCACTCCGTTCATTGGTTCTAACACTATGTCACTCCGTACATTGATTCTAACACTATGCCACTCCGTTCATTGGATCTAACACTATGCCACTCTGTTTACTGGTTCTAACACTATGCCACTCCGTGCATTGGTTCTAACACTATGCCACTCCGTTCACTGGTTCTAACACTATGCCACTCTGTTCACTGGTTCTGACACTATGCCACTCCGTGCATTGGTTCTAACACTATGCCCCTCCGTTCATTGGTTCTAACACTTTGCAACTCTGTTCATTGATTCTGACACTATGCCACTCCGTTCATTGGTTCTGACACTATGCAACTCTGTTTTTTGGCTCTAACACTATGCCACACCGTTCATTGGTTCTAACACTATGCCACTATGTTCATTGGTTCTAACACTATGCCACTCCGTTCACTGGTTCTAACACTATGCCACTCCGTTCACTGGTTCTAACACTATGCCACTCCGTTCACTGGTTCTAACACTATGCCACTCCGTTCACTGGTTCTAACACTATGCCACTCCGTTCACTGGTTCTAACACTATGCCACTCCGTTCACTGGTTCTATCACTATGCCACTCCGTTCACTGGTTCTAACACTATGCCACTCCGTTCACTGGTTCTAACACTATGCCACTCCTGGTTCTATGATATTATATTTTTTTGGTACTTACATTTGTACTACATGCCACTATGGTTTTCATTAGTACTTACAATATGCCACTTCGTTAACAAGTATTTATGACATACGACTCCGTTTTGTATTGGTACTTAATTGTAACTTTGATTTTATTAGTACTTAATAAAAAAGAAGATATGGTATGATTGCCATGAGACAACTCTCCACAAGAGACCAAATGACACAGACATTAACAACTGTAGGTCACCGTACGGCCTTCAACAATACGCAAAGCCCATACCGCACAGTCAGCTCAGGTTTTATTGGTTCTGATCGAATTGAACGATGAATATTTCTCTGTTTTTTTTAATTATTTTTAGTACTTACAAATGTATCTTGTGCCACTCAGTTATTTACTGATACTTACCGTATGCCACTCCGTCTTGGAGGATGTTTCCTACACGACTAATGCTTGTGGATTTATACTTCAATAAAGCAGGACATGTTATATGGCTATGATCACCGACATCGACAATGTTCATACTGTCATTAACTAAAATTAATGTATGATTTCATTTATAAAATGTTTCACAGAAAAAAAAACATGATAAATGTATGATTTTTTAGAAAATGTGTCACAGTTGGTAAACACTGATTGATATGTTGTATAGATAAACAACCTTGGTTGTCTCTTAATAACGTTGTTGCCGCAAATGCGAGAGTATAATAGATAAACAACATTGGTTGTCTCTTAATAACGTTGTTGCCGCAAAAGCGAGTGACATGGGTTCGATCTTCAACCAAGAATGCGGAATTAAGATGTTAACCGATGTTCAAGTCTCATAAATCGAATTATTGCTAATTCCGCGAATAAGATATATTAAGATCGCGAAAATACGTAATAACTAACCTCGCGTAAATGTTGTCTGAAAAAGACGCCTTACACGTATATCAAAATCAGAGACAATAAAAATGCGAAAATTAGAAATCCGACAATAAAACTTAAAATTGAGCTACTTAAAAATAGTATTTTAATCTACTTTGACTGTGTTTAAAATTTCGCGAGTTTTAAATCGAATCAAACGACAATGAAAAGTATTCATACTATACTATATTTTTTTTTCTTCACTAACCTATGCGTTCGAAAATTCGCATTCTTTTTGCGACAAGCTTCGGAATTAATTGATTTGACAATACTTAATGACTATGATATCAAAGAAATCAAATAGAGTTTTTGAGTTTTTTGAAAGTCTTTCAGTATATATGATTTGATAAAACTGAATTTTATAACAAATGATTGCTTTGTTTTCTTTTTTCCCTTATCACTTTTTTTCTTCCAGTGATCCTTTAAATAAAAATTTTGTTTAATTTATTTCGACATTCATGCGTTCAATGAGCTTTCTTCCTTTAAACAAAAAATCAAACAATATATTTCACACATTTTAAGTGATTCGAAAGATGCAACATTCAATCTTTTCTTCAATGTTTAAAAAAAATAATTTCGCACATATGATAAATAGCAAGTCTATTTGAAAAATTTACAATTCGAACAATTTAACTTCCATGAACACTTCTGAAACTGAAATTCAAAACTTGTACTCGTTAGTGATGAAATTATGACTAAATAAAAAAAATCGTGCTGGTCGACATCTACGTAATATGTTTTTATGAGATACAAGTCTTAATATTGGATATAATCTCGTATATTTTATATTAAAATATCAATCTGGAAGAATGCTTAATAAGTACGTCACTTCCCCTGCTGATGGAAATAAAAACAACATTGTATTGCAGTAATGAATTTAGCGTGTAAACGAAGTATTGGTTAAGTGAATGTTTTATAGGATTTACGTTACGTTTTAGTAACTTATTCAAAATAAGACATACATTTTCTTGTCGGTTAATTATCCGATACATTTCAGAATTAAAAAAAAAACCGTCATGATTGTCATTGTAACCTTCAGTTTGCATTATTCATAAATGTGTTATAGAAATCAACGTACGTTTTAGTCAAATATGCAAGAAACAACTTATTAGAAGCGAAAACCAAATCAGCTGTGAAATGAAATGAAATATCTAAGAAATAGAAATCAAATAAATAGAAATGGAATATGAGAATAACAATGGAGAACTAACTACTTAATGGTGTGGGCTTAACAAGAAATACCGTAAACAAGAACTAATTATACCCCCTCAATGTTTTGACTCTAGTAAGTAGACCAAAGAAGAAACTGGAAACGTGTCACACGGCACTACAATACGTAAAATATGCAATAGGAAGTTCTTATTATAGTTTGCCGAGAAAATATTGAGAATTGTCTCAAAATTACTGAAATGCATTTAATTATTTTTTTTTACAAAAACAATGACATTAATCATTACATTACATTGATTTGTAAACAACGCTGTGCTGTTTTAATCTTGATTAAGATTACCTGTAAAGAACCTGTCATGTGTTGCTATTAATGGGTGACATTTAGTTGCTTTAATCTAAGTCATTTGGACTCTGATGGATAGTTATGTTATTGGCAACCATACCACATCTCCTTATTTTATATTGATAACATGTACTGCCCATGGATCAAAGCTGTTCCCTAGTAATTATACTATCAATCAAACCTAACTCATTTAACAAAACTAAATCGTGAATTGTAAAACATATATATAAAGACTTTGTTGTGTCTTAACTAGTATACACTTGCTAATATTAGGGGCTAAATAAGTTAAAAATAAACACTTTTTTTGAACTGGTACCAACTGTACTGTCAAATACAAGTCAACAAGCCAGGTATGATACATGTGTACAAATGTAAGTTAATAAAAAAAACTTACCAAATGTTTGACATATGTAAGGTAGTTTTTCTTCACAACTCGCCAACTTCCATTTAAAGTCATCACTTAAATCTCCTTTAACACATACAGATGAGTTGAACATAAAAGTTCCATTTGGACCAGTATTTTCTGGAGGTAAACTTCCTTCGTCCCAATTTGTCCAGGAAATGGGTTCAGTTTTAACATCATAGACCTCAGAAGTTTTGTTGTCACTAAACACTCCTAACCAATAGGCTCCTGTTGTTCTAAAGTCGAAATATAATTAAAATTTAAACAAAGATATCATGCAGCAGTCAATTGACATATTTTTGTTTGCTTGTTTGTTTGAACGTTTTTTGTTTTGTTTTGTTTGTCATAATTTTTATCAATTAAAAGGAGGTGTGAGCTAAAGTTACATGTGAGGGTCTGGCTTTGGGGATGGTCTTCAATTTTCGTCTTTTTTTTAATTTATCAGTTTATTGTTTATATTTGAGCACCTGTTCATTATCTTCTCTTTAACTCATCAATTGTTCCTTATTATTTACCCCCCCCCCCCTTTCCCGTTTATTCTCTATTCTGTAAACCCTTATCTAGACCCTTAGATAAACGTATGACGGCAAATTTACATTCGAGATCAAAATTAATAGAAGCCAAATACGTTAAAAAAAATAGATAATAAAATCAAATTATACAGAACAAAAAAAAAAACAGACATAAAACAATTATAATTATGTTCATTTGCACGTGACAGGTGCGTTCGATAAAATTATCTAGGATTGTTATTTTTCCCGTCGAAGGTCGGTGGTTCTATTCGTGTGCTCTGGCGTCCTTCGCCAATAAAAACTGACCGCCTTGATGTAGCCAATGATGTAGAAAGTGGCGTTAAACTCCAACAATCAATCAATCAATCAATTGTTCTTTAAAATAATTGGTTAAGCAACAAACCACGCCTTTTTTGTCTATTTTTGAAGTCTTTCGTTTGCATCGTCTTCAGATGTCAATTAAGGTGGTACCCAACACCTTGACTAATATTAATTTGGCTCGTTTAATTTTCCTAAAATTTTGACAAAATGTTTACTTTGACCCTTTGACAAAAATATAAAAATTTCAAATAATTTGAACCAACCACTTTATCAGAAAAATTTCACTGGTTATATAGCAGTTTGACAAACACTAATTTTGATCATAGAGAAGCTTAAAGGGAAAATTCGCGATTTTTTACTTTTCATCTTAATATGTTCATAATACCATAAAAAACATATTCACCAAGTTTTATCTGGATATGAACACTAATAAAGAAGAAAATTGGGAATTAATAATTTAATTTATTCGAACTTCCTGACTTATGTGACGTAGTTTAAGTCTTTTTGCATGCCGGGAGTGAATAAATCTCATTGTAAGTCTTGTTCGTTAATCATCTAATAACGCGATTTAAAGCGCATCGACGACTTTTGGCGAAGCTATTAACCAACTAATAATTAAGAAAGTAAAGTGATCAGCCGTGCAACTTTCAAAATTAAAATGTACGATTTATATTTAAAGGATTTCTGATATGATTATAGTAATAAAAGTAAATCATACAATAGAATATATTTTTATGATTTTTTTCCGACGGATATTTTGAACAAACATATATAACTGATATTGTTTTACAAATGCATGTTTGTATTCTCACCTGAAGGCTTTTACTTCAGTCTAGCAAACATTTCCCACTAGTACAGTGTAAATACAATGTGTATTGTACTGTGACACTTAGTGACTACCTGTTGAATGCGTGGTTAAATTCAAGGTAATTAAAAGATTAGCATTCTGTAATTCTATTCTTTTGATCTTCACTCAGTGAATTTAGCCAACACGGTTCACCGTTACAGGTGTGAACAACATTTCGTATGAATGATAAAAACATTAATTATTTGGGGAGGAATATGGTGGCAAAATACCTGAATCGCCGTTATATATATCTTTTATATTTTTCGTAAGCTTAATTTTAAAATAGATAGGTGAGTATTTTGTTGTAACATCGAAATTCTGAATTACTTTTAATTAAATAATTTTATAAATAAAAATGGCCCACGAAAACGAGCGTGTAAACCAAACACTGTACTTACTTTTTCAAATTATCATGGGTATTAACCTTGAATATTTAAATGTTTAGAGAAAATTATCGCGGTTACATGATTAATATAGCTTGGTCCGTCCACAGCGATCTAAATTTACCTAATCAGGAATGCCCTTATTAAAATATTTAAAATCTCACAACGTGTACATACTTTAGCTATTTGACCAACGATGTTTAAAAAAATAACAGATTCAATCTTACGTCAACTTTCCTTTTTTGAATGGAGACAGACCGGCGGAATCAAGTTTCAATGTGCTTTATATCTTGTACCTTTGCAAGACTTATCATTCATTCATAAACCCACTCTATACCAGAGACATATATGTCAGTCTTAACTGACAAGAATACACCTCAAGCGGACAAGCAGTATATTCTTTAAATTTCTGTGATTTGATACCAAGAAAGAAAAAAATCCCGAAATTAATTTGATACTTTGATACTCAATATTTTTCCTGGAAAATATTCACATCCACACGTTTGGTCTGAAAATAGGATAATGATATGGTGTACAGAACATGCAGAAGTGTGAATGCCATAAAACCTTGTTATATCAGAAACCATTATAAATGTGAACCTGTATACGTAAGACCTCATGGAACGTCACCTAAGCACATACAGGTAATATACAAGTAGCTCTGTTATACCCGGAAATGTCAAGGTAAATCGCTACCGATACCGAATGTACCAATGCAAAGAAAATTCTGATGATTGTGAAGCGTGACCATTCATGATTTTAGAGGAGTCTTAGGTGGAAATTGCCGGTACGATTTAAATTCTGACTAGATTTTTTTCTCTCAATTTAAATCACTGAACTAAAAAAAAGAAACCTTTGTCCAAGATCAGAATTCTTCATGTAAATTCATAAAAACAACGTTCTTATTTTGTAACTTTCAATATACTTTACCTCCAACCACAGCCCCCCTCCCAACCTGGGAACAGTATATTTAACATTACAATGTTTGTGTACCTGCCCAAATCAAAAAAAAAAAAAAGAAGAAAAAAAAAGAAAGAGATGAACGGTAAGTCACATCAGATTCAAATATTTATATGGTTGATTGTCGTTAACTGGAGATGTATAGTTACACATCTCTGCGTTAACTTATAAGAATGACAGGAAAGTATATACTTGAAATAGATGTATGATGAATAATATGCAACTGCGGCACCCCTTTTTATCAAAGTGTACATGCATTTTAATGACTGTCCGTTATTTTGATTAAGAATGACAATAGAACGTGAAATTCTATAGTTGCCAGTGAGACTTTTTTTTACCAGATATGCGACTTTTCGTATTTATATTTTCTCTTATATTACTCTCATTTAATATTTTATGCATAAGTGCAATATTGGGAATAGTTTATTCCCCCACAAGCCAACTAAATAAATTAATCAACCATCTAGCTAATCAGACGTTAATACAAATACTATCAGTCTATCCGGAGTGAAGTTTCTTTATTTCTTCAAATAGATTTTTTGGGGATCATTAGTGTACGTCCAGTGGCATATATATTACATGCATGTCGGAATAGGAAAGTTAGCATAATGTACTTTTAGAACCATGTTCACATCATTATACATTATATCCAACAATTGTGGTGATGACGAATTTCTTTAACTGTTCGAGAACAATCTAAATGAAATATAAATCTGTGATTTTACTATGTCCATAACTTCGATGAACCAAAGCAAGTGAGAAATCAACCTGTATTTAAATCAAATTGGTTCTGGATGTTCCTCTGTTATATTCAAAAACATGTATATATTTTTAATTGCGACTATCTATATCCGTAACTTTCTATCTAGGCGTATTAACCAATGATTTTTGTATGTTTCAAAATGTCCATCATTATTGACAACGAGTATATACTTACATTTTCCACAATTTACCCTTGGAAAAATTTTATCAAATCTTTTTTTGGAATTATTTAGATTTTCATAAATATCATTCTTTACACCAGAAATGTTATTTATAAACAAGCGTATGTGTTTAGTAATGACTAGTATATCACTCTCGGACACGCAAGACAAAGATGTATATTACACCTGATAGTTTCAAAATGGAAAGTTACAAGTTATCGGCCGTGTACACTGATCAATACCCTCAGAAATGAAGGGATGCATGAACTTGCTTTATGTAATTGTGTAATAAGAGTTTTTAAGTCCGACAGGAAATCGCATGAATACCTGGACGTGTCACCTCACAATACCTCTGGGAATAATTTCTTTAGCCATATGCATGCTGATGATCAGATAAGGGAAGGTCTGAATTTATTTTAATAATTAGATATAAGAAAATGATGTATGAGTGCTAATGAGACAACTCTCCATCCAAGTCACAAATTGTCAATTTATAAAAGTAAACCATTATAGGTAAAAGTACGGTCTTCAACACGGAGCCTTGGTTTATTACATAAAAGTTTATTACATAAAAAAATTATGAACAAATTAGATTTTCGAAAACAATTATACACGGGACACTTATTTATGACTTTGAACTTTGACTTTTTAACTAATTCCCATATAAATTTCTTGTTTCAAAACTTAGTAAAAACAAGAATTTGTATAGTAACAAATACAAATCCTTGGTAAAAAAAAACAGTTAAAAAACGACAGACTTTAGATATTAAAAAAAAATAATTACATTTTCCGTATCATGTTAGTTAGGAAAGGTTGCACAACCATGTCTATTATAATCATGTTTGTGACCCGGGAAACTGTTTATGCTTTTCTTGTCGGATAAAACAACTGTACGCTTGACAAGATATCGACACGCAATTACGACTACGTTAGGTTACTGCTAGTTTTGGTCCTTTGTGGTTTATAGATATATCGTGGTTTCGAAACCGAGAAGATGTCAAAATGGCCGCATGCAGAGAATTGATACTCTAAATTTAAAATCGATGGTGATCTCTTATATAGCAGAATAAAACTTTAATAATTATGAATTTGTGCTTTTTTATACAGAATGAACATAATATCAATTTTTCATTTTTTTGCGAAGTTTCCCTTTAATATTTCCTTACCAATATAACGTGATTAAAACGTTTAGTTGATTTTTACAGAGTTATCTCCCTGTAGTGTTAGGTACCACCTTAAGATTTTAAAGTGTTGAAAAATAAAATGAGAATATCTTAAATAACATCAATTCCAAATATTTGTTTTCTCAACTAAAAAAGAAAAGGGTCTTATAAAGAAATATACCATTCCATTTCCTGTTATGCATAATATAAGGAATAGTTTCTTTTATAAATAAAAATCCATTTTCTTTGCATTTGTATTAATTTTGTCATTTCTGTCAATCTTTACAGTTTTTATCCATATTTGAATGTAAATATAAAGTCCCTGACATATGATACATATATAATATATACATGTGTAACCGAGTAATCAATGACCATCATTGCATATTTTCAAAAAGGGGACTAACTTTTTCAACAGTAGTGCTAGAGCAAACACATTTTAGGACAAATATCAGGGAATCAATACCAATCAAGTTATCAACTTCATTTAGACCAACCTCAAAACATTAAGGTGACAACTGTTGCATTCAGTGGAATTGCAAACTACTGTTATGTTATTATAGTCTATTGATTGAACGTATAAAATCTGTATTATATTTGAAAATTAAGGTGGAAACGGTTGACTAGGGAATGAAATAGGAAAACATAGATTTCTAGATAACGTCAGGCAGTAAGAAAAATACTGTGGATATTCATATAAGTAGGTTGTACGTTTTATGGGATGCATAAATACGCAGCAACTTCCTGTCAAAATGTATACATTAAATCCGACACCCTAGGCCTTGATGATATTGAAATGTTCTTTGCTGGTAGAATAATCTTTGCGATCTTTGAGAAATGCGGCATGTACCATGCGAGTAATATACGGAATAACCTGTGTTAATGTATTTCAATTCCAAAATAGACTCAATAAAAATATAATAATTTGATAAACTGATTATTTCTAAACCTAATCTAGAGTTATTTGAAAGAGTTGATATTTGATAAAACGCATTTCTAACTTTATGTGATATAAACAAACAATAATTTAACTCTGTACATGTATACCACTGGTGGCCTTATGAAGCGATGAATGTCGAAAACTGACAAGCCTAAAGGTGGCGCATTCATCAAGGGAATAATCTTTCAGGAATAACAACTTTGGATAGGACCACAACTGTTTTATCATACCGAAAAAGGTGACCTTTAAGCCCCTGCAGTGAAGATCCAGTTCAAAAAGAATGCCTAAACAGATTCTCATTACACTGATGTCAGAGAATATTTTTTTGTTTGTTTTAGAATTCGCCGTAATTTTTGTCATCTGTTTAATGTTTTGACAGCTAAACGTGTCTTTAAGGCTTTGGTTTTTTAAGAATTGATCAGCTGCTTTATTCACAAAAGTTTTTCATCGGAGGGTTTGTCCTGGTTTTCTTTTTATAGATATAAGAAGATGTAGCATGAGTGCCAATGAGACAACTCTCCGTCCAAGTAACAATTTGTAAAAGTAAACCATTATAGGTCAAAGTACGGCCTTCAACACGGAGCCTTGGCTCACACCGAACAGCAAGCTATACAGGGCCCCCAAAAATGACTAGTGTAAAACTCCCAATTTCCTCCCCGTTACTCCCACTTCACTCCTCCTTAATCCCAGACGAAAATCATTCAAAATTTTGTTCCCAGAAAATCCTTATTTTCTCTCCCTCTTCCCCCAGTTCACGCATCCTGACTCCTGCTTCCCGTCCCCTCATTAACATGTTGCCTTACCCCTGTCCACTCCCTCATATATTTTACTCAATAGAATTATACAGTATAAATGTAACTTTGTAAAGTATCATAGGACTTTACTCTACGGTTAACAGCAGTTCATGTTCCATATTAATACAATTATTTTTCCTTGTTTTTTATATCTATAATAGTTGAAAAATAAATAATAAATAATTTGGGGAAACTTTTTTTTTCTTTCACAGGTTTGAGATGATCCTCATAAACGGGTATTAGCCCCATTAATGGTTATCAATCATGTAAAAGACAATATTTTACCCCCAAAAGCACCATGACTGAACCATCATTAAATTTGGATAAATATTATTGGCATTTAAAAAAAATATAATTTTTGGAGGTTACTCACTTTTTTTTTCAGTTCTTTACTGTGGTCTCAATTTAATGTTTTATCACAAAAAATTGAAACCAGTCTTGAATTCTGGTATAATACCAATTAATAGGGATAATACCAATTTCTGAGGATCTTCCCCAACCTGTTTAAATACCTTAAAAACTAAATCAAAATAACTTTCTGTATTTGTATCTAGATTATAGAAATTAGTTTAAAATCAATCTATGCATGCTGCAAGTACATTTGTCCATTGTGATACGGATACATTGTACCGAACATGTTTGATCTCACTTAGTAATTTTCTATGTAACCATACTTGAACATTTGTGTAAAATTATTCGTTAATCTGATTAAAATCAGCTTATTGTTTGTTTGTCTCCGATTATTGCACAGTACGTATAGTCATCGGTCCACAAACAAACAGCTAATCTAAATCTTATAACATCTTTATGTTCACTGTCATTATTGAAAAAATATATTAAATTAATCTATAATCAAGACATACCGTACTTATACAATGAAAACAATAATACGGCATCATGCATTGTGATTTAAAAGAGAGAACGAACATACAAAAGGGATATTCTAAGTCATAAGGTGTAACACCACTAATTCGGGCCCGGCCAGAAAGCACATACCAGAAAGGAGTACATATTTAACACAAAATAGTTCCTAAGCTTGGATGTAACTTTCAAAATATGTAGAATATTTAGGTAATTTTGGTATCAAATGAAAGCTGAAAGATTTGTGATCATTGTAGAATGCTTTTTGACTTATAATTTTGAATATTAATAAAAAAAATTGCATGAAAGGAGAAGGTCCGGTAAGGGCTAGTTTTGGCCTAAAATTCGAAGTACATCTAATGAAAGATTTTTTACATTTCTTAAACACTTAAGTGTCTACTTCAGTCGATTCAATTAATTTATGTAAAAGTTTTTAACTGATTTGGTCATTAAAGACGCTAAAAATCAAGCTTGAATATGAATAATCTATCAAATATGCCATAAAACGTCCCTTTTCAGATGGGTTTTGTCTAAAATGGAAGTGGCCGCATTCGTGTTCAGTCTCAACCTTTATATATGTTATGTATTATCATCAAGTACAACACATATTTAAATATTAAGACTGAACACAAATGCGACCACTTCCATTTTAGACAAAAACCGTCTTAAAATTAATACAAATGCTAAAATTGTGGAGATTTCAGTGGTATTGCATGAATTCATGATGCTAGTACCTGGTGCATGTGCATTGTATTGTCAAAAACAGCCCATATTTATGGAACAAAAGTATTCTACTTTCCAATAAATAGCTAAAAGCATACATTTCAACAAATTTGTAAAAATGCTATATTTTGGGGCCAAAAAGGGGTCCTACCGGACCTACCCCTTTTTAAGGAGGGTACATTTTGCCTGTTTGTCAGATCTGAAGTACCTGTGTGGTACATCCGAAGTTCCGGGAACAAGTTCTGCTTGAAATTGAGGAATTTAACATAGAAAGCAATGGGGCCATGAATTAGTGGTGTACTTCCATAAGTCGAAGACAAACCGACAACGCCATGGCAAAAACAAAAAACAAAAGACGATCAAAGGCAAAAATCAGTACAACATGTACAAAGGTATACAAAACACAACATCGAAAACTAAAGACTGAACAACACGAACTCAAACAAATACCTTGTGTGGTCTCAGGTGTTCCAGAAGGGTAAGAATTTAGATAGGCTAGATAGTGGTTTATTTACGTACCCTACAACTGGAAGCAAATTATTTTCCAGCCATGTTTGCGTAGTTTGGTCTTTGACAGTCATCAGTGTCATGCCGTATTTACTACAGCAATACTGTGCTTCATCCCGTGTTATCACAAAGTTACTGAAGATCAAAAAGCTACTGGAAGTTGATGTTGCTAAAATATAAAGATTTTTTCAAGTTATTTGTATTTGAATAACTGTTTACCTACGTTCGAATGTCATAAAACTCATAAATACTTTAAGAAAGTACACATCAAGGTAAGTCAACAAAATTTGAAGGAAATGCATGACCTCCGAAAGAAGAGGGAGTGGATCATGCTGATGTGTTGACAGTGTTATGCGTCTAAAAATAGAATGTAGACCTAATATAATACGTGTAATTTACACATGCCACCTATTAATTAAATACAAAGAATAGTAAGACAATAATTTAGAAACTAGAATATTAAAACAAAGATATATCAAAAGCGCAATACGATACCGGTTTACAAAAATAAGAAGGATATCAACAATTTAAACAAAAATAGACACGCACAATTAAAAACATAAAAACATTTATTTATTTATATATATATAATAAGAACAAATGAAGAAAATGCATTTTGTAATAAATATGCGTACATGTAACTAATCTTTACCAGTAAAATCACAGATTAAATACAGGGCACAATTTCAGTAAACAATTCACCTTATCGTTATTCATTCCAAGCCGGATAAGTTCTGAAATTACAGATTGAACTTTATAATCCAGTTGAAGGTATATGGGGCCCTGTTTAACCAATGTAGTATGCATAAAACTTTTCAAAGAGACATAAACACCTCAAACAAAGCATTTTTATTATCTTAATTTGTGTTTTAAGAAAGTGGATCAAAATCTATCGAAGTTTCAAAATGTTTGCTTTATAAACTTTTCTATCCCTCAGCTCATTACTGATGACCTTTGTTTTGCGACACTTGACCCAAACAGGAAGTTGTCTAAGTGACTGTTTTTTTTCCGGATCGGACTAAATAGCGATAAGGTGCATGTTATTCTGGGCTGAACGTCGCACTAATGGTATATTGTTCTGAAGTAAAATGCAATTTATATCATACAAAATGTATGTCACACTGACAAAACTGGCGGGAAACAGGACACGACTGACAATCTTTTGTAGAAGTCAAATTGTATGTTCGCTTCAAAATAAACGAAACGCACAAGAGATGTTTATTATTAATGTATTATTACGGTCGGTGCAATGTTGGTCTCATACAGATATAGAGATGTGATTTTTAAAGTCTAGCGCTGGAGATGTAAAGTCTAGCGATGTAGATTTAAAGTCACCCTCTGGAGATATAACGGCTAGTGCTATAGATTTAAAGTCCTGCACTGTAGATCTAATGTCCAGAGCTGTAGATGTTAAGTCAATAAAGAAAGAAATATTATGGAAAACAGTTACATAAAAATTAACAAAGAAATTTACATAATGTGTTGAAAAGTTTTTAAGTGAACTCAAGATAAATAAATGAACAAATTTTCATACCGTGTTCAAATGTAAGTAATGCCAATATAAAGCCGAAAATACTCTTCAATATCATCATATCAGACAGGAATTATTTCAATTGTTTAAACACAAATATCACTGTAAAATTGTATAGTCCATGAATCATATTTGTTGATCCTTGTTTCAAAATACTTTAAATAATTTTTTTCAACTTTTTAAACAGTTTAAAACAGGAAAAATGAATGTAATTCTAACGTGTAAAACGCCCGATTAAACAAATTCAGAGGCGGAACGATTCACATGGTGTTGCGTTAAGATCCAATATTCGTTCTCATGATTGGCCACGTAAAACGCTATTTTATATTCAATAAAACAGTAAAATTATATCGTGCAGCTTACAATCAATGATATGCATAGTAGTAAGCAATGCTTAATCAAATCAAAATCTAATAAGTGTGAATTAATAAAAAACCTAAAAACTAAAATTGTTTAAGATTGAAGGTACTAATATCGCAATTGCGTGAATATAGGGGGAATATTGATATGGTGCATTAATCTTTAAAAAAGATTTTTTTTCTTAAAACGTGTTATAAATTGATTTTTTTATGATCGCATTTGCATTCACTGTTTGAATCATCGAGTACTTAGTAATCAAGAAAAGGAAAAAATAAGAAAGAAAGACAGAAAAGCACGTTGATAATTGCCGATATAATTTCATGCTTGTTGTATTAAGTACAATATTGTAATCCTATGTCAAAATGGATTTCTATCTTTGTATATGCACGTTCGACGACCAAGTTGACTTTTGCAGTAACACGAATTTGTCCTCCTCCTGCTACTTTTTTTTCAGTTATCCCCTAAAACTGTTAGAAACAAGTGAAACTGCGAGCTACTGCTCACTGATGATACCACCAGCCCAAATATGCATTTGTTGTTAAGTGATGAATCTGAAAACGCATCACACAGTATAGCTGACTTATACAAACCCTGAAACCAAATTTCAGAAATCCTTATGATCTAGTTCCTGAGAAAGATGCGACGAAACATATTCACGGGACGGACGGACGGACGGACGGACTGACGGATGGACAGACAGAGTTAAAACAGTATAACCCCACTTTTGTAAAGCGGGGGTATAAAAACTGCGATTAGCTGACCGAGTTTGTTGGTCGACTAACCAATATGACCCATGCTGAAGAACGGACTTAGATTTACTTTGTAACTTATGAAAACAATAAAAGAAAATACCATGTAGCAATCCCCAAAATATGACAGAAGGCTTTCTTGTTTGTCCTGTTTATTAAGTGCAAGTCTTTGTAAGAATCAGGCAATTTAGAAAAATTTCAAAACTTGGCCAAAAAAAAAACCCACCGACCTAACCATCCTATTTTGAAGTTACCCTTATCCTGAGTTCGAAATAGTAAGTCTTTTGTTTTTGCGTGTCTGGTAATTTAGGAAATCTCTAGATATCTTTTGGTTAGAATGATAGCACATTACGGAGTTCGCTCTCCTTAATTGTTAATTTCCAGTGCATTTCAACCAAATTATATCTTTAATTACCAGAACAGGAAAAGTTCCTGTACTATTTTACAATTTGAACATAAATTAATGTCAACTTGAGTGGGTTTTTGTTTGTCATGTTTTCACCATTCCCTGATTCTTAGGCAGATTAGCACTTAAATGTTTTGGCAATACTCAAGACAAAGATTCCAATCTATAAGAGACAGGCTGCCGTATGACAAACCTAAATTATCATTTAGACTACTTACCACTCCCATTCTCCCAAAACAAATCCCAAAATTACCCACACACACTTTTTGCTGTCTCTCCGTGAAATAACATAGAAAAAACAACAAAAAGCTACTCACGAATTTAAAGTTATTGCATACGACGAAAACACTGCTATATCAGTATGCATAGACAATAATAGTGCATTGACTTGACATATCAACGATATAAGGATGAGGCTTAGAAAAGGGGAAATGCGAGGCTCTGCCGAGCTTTTTCCCCGTTTCGGGCCGAATCCTTATAACGTTGATATGTCAAGTCAATTCACTATTATTGTCTTTATACTGCAATCTTGAATAAAAAAAAACATTTTCAGTTGTTGTTTAATGTTATTTATTTGATTTAAATATTGGGGAAAATCTCCCTTTAAAAAGGCCTCATACCGGTATCAGGCGGAGAAATAGACAACGCAATGAAATGTACATTACCTGTTGAAACCCGCAATCGATGGTGAACGAATTGAATTCGTTTGAGTATGGACTAAAATATCAACGATAAGCATCGATGGTGAACGAATTGAATTCGTTTGAGTATGGACTAAAATATCAACGATAAGCATAAAACATAATGATTTATAGGTTTCAAACAAAAAATATTAACAAGTGAAATATGTTTTTCCAAAAATTGTAAAAGAAATAAGTTTGGGTCGTTCCACGCTTCATTGTATACATTGGAAACAAGAACAGGTTGAAGAGGTCGTATGAATAATTAAATATAGTTTCGGCAACTTCTATTTAAATATTCATGAGGAAAAGTGATATCGGGTCAGTGACTGTATATGACATAGAAATATACAGTCAACGCATTTTGACTGCTCAAATAGAACGAGTGCAGTATAAACAAGAATACTGACCAATTCCGTATAAAACAATGTTAGCAGTAACTGTTACTGTACAGTAGGTATGAGTGGGGTGGAAGGACCCTTTACGGGATAGGGCCTTTATTTTTGAGGGAATTCAGGATTGGGCATTTATTTTCGCGGGAATTCTTGATTTACATTCATCGAGACTTCGGGACTCGGCAATTAATTATTAATTTTTCGGGATCCAGGAGAGAATGATTTATGTTTTTTTTGGAATTCGGAATGACACCCCTTCCTACCGCCCCTCTCTAAAGTACTCTATCTGGTGATTTAGATAATAATGGTATTATACATTGTGATATGAATAGTTTCAAGAAGATGTTGAATGTTCTGAAAAAGACTAACAGTTGAATTCCGAATTTCAATGCAGAAAAGAAAGATTAAACGAAATAATTTAATAACGTTTAAGATACGCCATGAATATATTATACTGAAGTGCTGTCATGTGGTACCAATAAATTAACATTATATCAAGTATAAAGTGCGATTTGATAAATGAGAAAAACGAAAGAGAAATATATCCTTATATTTAATTTCATTAGCGGTTTAAATTACCTTGTATGCTATTTTTTTTATTATTAATTCTTACAACTCTGCATCAATGCTGCACACATGCAAAGAAATCTTAAATGAATCCTTATATTTACATGTTAATAAATAAATTTGGCGTATTTACTGTCTTCTGATTGGTTAAAAGTATTACTTTTATTTTCAATGTTGTCAATTTTTATGGCGACACGCCCACTTTTACCGGAACTACTTTTTTATTGATTCGAAAATTCTTTTACTTGATACATTAGTAGCAATTTTTGATAGAACTTTATTTATAATGAATGGCAATAATTTATTTTGAATTTATTGAACCATAAAATTAATTTTTGACTTTTCACATTTTACATAATCTGCTTCGCGGATTATTCAATGTAAAGAGTCAAAAATTAATTTTATGGTTCAATAAATTCAAAATAAATAATAGCCATTCATTAAATGAAGCATCTTGAGATAAGTGTTGTCACGCTAAAATGCAAACAAACAGTTAAATGATTTTCATATTTTCATTTCTGTATTTATTTGGTGTAACTTTCAACTTAGTAAGTTTCAAAACAATTGCAATAATAATCTTGTTTCTGTATTTTATCAAAAAGCTTCATAATTAAAATGAGTGAAGTTTCAAGTTGTTGTTACCACCAACTACCCTTAACAAAAACTTTAACCTACCATTAATCAATGGTTTCATGATTTTCGCTCTTCTTGCTTTTGATTTTTTTTTTATATTCGTAATCCTTTGTTTTTATCCGTGTAGTGCCATTAAAACATTTTGCCCGCTAACCCTTCATTTTTTCTGCTTTTTTAGTTCTTTTACTCATATACTTTCAATTTATTTTAGTCTTTCAAAAAGCTTGTAAGCTTGAGAAGCGAACATCCTTAACCTGATACGAGACGAATGAGCGGAAACGGGCGAACAGACCAGAAAATATAATACCCCTTAGTATAAAAAGGTGATGAATTTAGGATTTATATTTTAGTGAAAAAAATTAAGTTTTGCTATGAACAAAGCCTTACTGACAAAAAATAAACTTGAAAGTTTCAGATTTTCTGTTCGTTTAGTTTACACATATTTTATTGTCTAAATAAACAATAGGATTGGATACAAGTTATAACAACTTAACATAATCCTCTCTAAATAAGTACAATATAAAAAAATTTAAGATGACAGCAATTATATAATTCAGAACAATATGAAAAATATATACAGTAAATATATTGTGTTTAAACAGTTACAGTTGGGTACGAGTACATTTAAGATACAACAATATTAATCAAAAAATCGTTTTGTATGGCGTATATAACTACATGTACAAATGTATGTATATTTCTGAAAAGGAATGTGTTTTGTTCAACACTAATTTCGTCTGTTCCAAATAAAATATGTTCTATGGAAATAGCAACTAAGTGTTGGATATTTTCTGTTCGGTAGTAAGATTCCGAACGGTGAAGTAAAAAACACTACCAATTGTAACTGATTTGGTTTCTATTGTTTCTGTTTTAAAAAAAAATCTGTTATCTATTCAATCACTTTCGGGCATCCAAATACTGTTTTTAAAAGTCACTGTATTCAAAATGTTTTTATCAGTTCACGGGTAAAGTAAAATAAAGATAAATGCCTTTTAAAGAAATGCAAAAGATTTGCCACCAGTATATAGTTGTACAGAAGTTAAAACAGCTTTACAAATTAAATCTAATTTATAATTCGAGGCAACAGTGGTTTCCAAATGTTCGAATCTCATATATCTATTAAGAAGATGCGAATCAAGGTAAAAAAGTATATATATATATATAAAGTATATAGTTGTATAGAAGTTAAAACAGCATTACACATTAGATTTAATTTATAATTCGAGATAACGGTAGTTTCCAAATGTTTGAATCTCATATATCCATTAAGAGGATGCAAAGCAAGGTAAAAAAAACGAATCTAAGGGAATTGCATGAACTTCAAAGGAGTAAGAGTCTTGCTATAGTCCTCAATTTGGTTTCGATTTTAAGCAAACATGCTAACAATTCAATGACATTAAGAATAAATAAGAAGATGTGGTATGAGTGCCAATGAGACAACTATCAATCCAAGT